CGACGCAGCTACTTTTGATTCTGCTGCTTCCGCTGCTCAGATATTTGTTGCCAGGCCCTGCTCTCGCGGGACCCCACACGTCTTTGGAAATGATTGAGATGAAGATGTCTGAGCTGATAATTAAATTAATAAAGAGTACTTTGTTTGTGTGTATAGGTCTGTGTCATCGGGGATCAGCGAACACTGCTTATGAATGAACTCGCACACCTTTATGACAGACATTGTACTAATTTTCGTTGATCGAGACGAACAAGGCACGTGCCATGTCCAGACGAATTGATATTAACAATATTGTCCTTAAATATAATGCTAACACTGGATTAACGTTAACACTGGATTAATCATGCACATTTTAAACCCTGCCTATAGCATTTATGACTAACGATTCGCATTTGCACATAACATACATTCAAGCACAGTAAAATGCGCATACGAACATATTGTTACTAGAATAATTTTAATGCGATTCTAACCCTGCAAACCCCCACAGTTCGCATATCCGTCCCCCGATTCGATTGAACCTACACTTTACATACATATGAGCGATTAGAATGCTTCTAATGACATTCTCATACCGTAACTCCGTTTATGGTGGAATCTATTATAAAAAATAATTAAAGTCGTTGAATGTTTAGTGTTATTGTTCATAGTGTTATCAGTTTACATGTTATAGAGTACAGGTGATCCCCCGTATACTTCGGGTTTTGGGACCAGAACGTTGTGAAACGATTTACAACGAGGAACTTTCCCTGCCAGAGCGCAAGCCGCTAATGAAAAGAACACGGGGCGGCGGGAACACGTGCTTCCATGGGCGGTCGTAGACAGGTTGTATTGCCCAAAGGTGACACCGGGTACGTCCCCCAAGTTGCTCCGCCCACGGCGGCGACAGGTAGAAGTCATAGAGGTGAAATGGCCGCAGTGTGTACGCATGTAGTTATGTCCGTCCCCACCCAGACAGCTCATCCCCATGTCCTGTACAGCCCAAGTCTGGTGTGTCCAACGTGGTGGGGCACTCGGCAACGGGAACCGTACTCCAAATGAAATGTGTTGTGGCGCCCACAGTTTCTGAGCCCCTGAGGCCCGGGGTGCCTCAAGGATCCGCCACGTGCGAGGAACCGGTGCCTGGAGCCTGGTCAAATTCTTCAAAAGAAGCCAGGGACCTGCCTAATCCTTCAAGGCTGTGGTGCGAACCCTTGACGCCCCGAAATGCACAAGAATCTACCATGGGCGCGGGACGGGCGTCGAGAACCAGGTCAAAATGCGCAAGGTTGCGCTTGTAGGCTCCACGCAAAATATCAATGCTGTATATTATTAATTCTGACCTTACTCCCTCCCTTTGATGCTGCTAATCCTGCATAATGCATGGACATAATGACTTTGAAACCCCCCCGCCCACCTCCTACGCATTTCACAAGTAGTGCAAATCACATATCTGCATTTCCCATAAATATGCTAACATCCTCTTGATATGGAAATTATTTTGTCAAGACGCTCTTCGCTCCTCCATCGCAGCATAAATAGTCGCTCCAAGCCTGGAGCGTGACATACAGACTACGTCTACTTGACGGACCTGTTCTCCACCTGAGGACGGCTGCTTGCGTTGTGGCCGAAACGTCGTGAGAATTATTTTATTATGTTTTATTTTTATTATTTTATTACTTCCCTTCTACGTGACTTTACCGAAAGAACCAAGAAGATGTATATTGCTATTCGGTTCCATTGAGATGGAACATTCTACCAGCAGTGGGCAGCTTGATTCTAATACGACCATGGTGCGATTTTAATAATTTTGATGCGATTCTAAATCTGGCACCACCCAGGCCGCATTTACGACTCCCGATGTACATCTACATTTAACATACATTCTAGCTCAGTGTAATTCTAATACGACCCTAGTGTTATTCTAATAATTTTAATCCGATCATAATCCTGCACCCCCCCGTTCGCATATCCGACCACCGGTTCGCATGTCCAAAGGCAAAAGATGCATATTACATACGTACACTAGCAGTCGGCGCCCGCTTCGCGGGCGGTGTGTATATACTTGGTTGGTGGAGAGTTGAAAGTGGCTGGACACAATAGACATGTTTTGGTGATTGTTTTATGTTTATTTTTGTGAGGTTATATGTATTTTAATGAGACGCTCAATCGACAATATTAAATAATGCAACTTATTCAAATATAGAATGCAACTTATTCAAATATCTGCCGATCCACGATATTCTTCGTGTACACTCCGTCTTCCTCCTCGTCGTGAGGTCCCTCAATAAGCGCCTTGATGTTGGATCTTGCCGTGACTCGCGATAGTGCCACGTACAGTTGGCCGTGCGAGAAGCATGGCGTTGGTAGATATAATCCCAGGTTGTGAACAGTTTGCCCTTGCGCCTTGTTGATGGTCATCATGAAGGCTGGGACAATGGGGAACTGCTTGCGCCGAAGTCGAAATGGGAAGTCCTTCGTGTCGTCGTCGCTGATGAAGATGATCCGAGGGATCAACACCTTCTTACCGTTATGGGTTCCTGTCATGATAGTCGCGCGAATGACGGGTGACTTCATTTCCACGATGCGAAGCCGTGTTCCATTGCACAGGCCAGCGTCCGGGTTCAAGTTGCGCATCATAATCACTGGGATGCGTTTGTTGAGGATCAACTTGTGTGGCGGAACCCCGTTGATGTTCACCGAGTTGAGGACCTCTGTCTCAAAGAATGCTGACCCTGCTCTCTCGTTGTCCTCAACCGAATCTGTAGACAGGTACACTTGTGGAGCTTCTCTGAGGCGATCCGCGACAGCCTCATTCACTCGCTGCACAGCGGTGTTGGTCGGCGTCAGAATAGTGCGGCGAGCGAAGTAGTCGTTCGTTGCCACCGTAGGGTCATTCAATTCATCTGCACTGTACATGACATCGACAATCCTCTTCAACCCGATTGGCACGGGCAGATGACTGCCGTCCTCATCTCCGTCGATGTCTGGGTCGTATTCAGGATTGTCGATCACCATGGCACGCGGAATCTTCATGCAATCCGGACCGAGGTCAGGATCATCTTCATGCCTATCCTCTCCGACTTCCAAAAGAAAAGTTCTGCGGCTGATTCTTGGTTCTCTGCGCACTGGACTCTCATGTTCACAGTCAGATGAACTTGCTTGAAGTGGGACCGCAGGTTGGACGACTTGAAACACGCATCCACAGTATCATCTGGTGTTCCTTTCTTGACAACTGGCAGAATCTGTCGAAAGTCATCGGACAGGACAACCACTTTGCCTCCAAACGGTTCATGCAGATTGTCCAAAATATCGCGAAGCGTGCGATCCACCGCTTCAAACGCAAACCGGTGCATCATTGGGGCTTCATCCCAAACGATAAGACTTGCCTCCTTGATAAATGCTTTGAGCTTGGACTGTTTGCGAATGAAGCATGTGGATATGTTCGTCGGTTTCAACGGGATCTTGAACGTGCAATGCGCGGTACGGCCGCCTGGAAGCAGCAGCGAGGCAATGCCGCTGGAAGCAACAGTAATCGCAATCTTGCCTTGAAGACGTATCTTCGCCAGCACATGGTTGAGCAGCGTGGACTTCCCCGTGCCGCCCGGACCATCGATGAAGAACAGCTTTTGATCGGGTTGACTGTCTTCGACTGAGCCAACAATTTCGTCGTAGATTTCTGTCTGGTTCGTGTTGAGTCTGTCAGCATCTTCTACGATGTCTTGTAGCTCGTTTCTATCATATCCTTCCAATTCGCGGCGGATATGGATCTTCGCAAGCTGCGAGTCCAAGACCAAGTGTGGGTACTCGGAAAGCTGCGGGAGGTCGTCAAAGTCCGACAGAGCCATCCCACCTGCCGTGAGGAACTCGTGGAGGCTGTGAAGGGTCTTGAACTTTACCATTTGTTCTTTGTTGGTCAGCTCGCGGTACTGGTACTCGTAATCGCGGGCCAATTCGTCGTAGAATTTATCCCAGAGATCCTTCGTATCTGCTGGCATGGAATACAGCAGAATCGTAGCGAAGAGTTGACGAAGCTGGTACGGCATCTGAAAGAACGAGGCTTCTTCTAGACACGCAACCCATTCGCGATCGCTCTCAAGGTAGCCTGCTCGCATTTGATCAACTCTGATATTGTATACTCTCACATGTTAAGCTCTATCATAGTGAAACATAATAGTATAACCTATGAACTACAACCTATCCATTGTAACGCTGTAAAATAATATTACCTATTGGGTTTCACTCCCTCGTCGAGAAGGCCGCTCTCTTCCTTTTCTAAAGTTACATGCTAATTTCTCTGCATTCACTTTAAATCGAGGACAACGTTTTTCCATTTATTCAAAATAAGCGCACAATTACACACTGAAATGCACTTACATATTCATGCATGAAGTACAATGGACACATTACTCTTCGGTATGTTAATAGATATGCGGATTGTACCTTCCAAAATTAACAATCGAATGCAAAAATCCTGAAAGACAAAGGATTGGATCCGAGGGGGGGAGTTATAAGGCGGCTCAGAAGCAGAGCTCAATGCCATTTCGAGAGGGAACTTGATGAGGTTGGACGCTCGACTCGTCGCTCTGCTGTTCGCCCTTCAACCGCGAGACAACGCAGCCTGGCGAGCACAATTGCTGTGTCGACAGTTAGGCGACTTTGCGTCGGGAGAGTTCGTGGCGACATCTTCAGACGGGTTCCAGACATCGATATACCGTGAATCTCCAAGTAAGTGTCTATTTTCGGGGATAAACTCTTAAACGTTTTCGTCGTCAAATTAGCGGGATTTTTTTGCGTCTCGGTTAGAGTGTCGTTCTTGTTTTAGCAGTTAACAAAATCTGAAACTCAACGCTAAACATCCTTGCGGCCGATAGTGTACTTTTGACTCAATAACACCGCTGCTGTTACTACGCTCACATGGAGCAGAGATGCTCCCCACAGCCCCACGCACACGGAGGCAAGAAGCAATTCAATTGCTCTGTGTGTGGGAAGTCATTTTCACGGCCATCACATCTTCAGAGTCACCAGAGAACACACACGGGCGAGAAGCCATTCCTGTGCCCTGTGTGTGGGAAGACATTTGCAAGGTCATCACATCTTCAGATTCATCAGAGAACACACACGGGCGAGAAGCCATTCCTGTGCCCTGTGTGTGGGAAGAAATTTGCAAACTCATCACATCTTCAGAGTCATCAGAGAACACACACGGGCGAGAAGCCATTCCTGTGCTCTGTGTGTGGGAAGGCATTTGCACAGTCATCACATCTTCAGATTCATCAGAGAGCACACACGGGCGAGAAGCCATTCCTGTGCCCTGTGTGTGGGAAGACATTTGCAAGGTCATCACATCTTCAGATTCATCGGAGAACACACACGGGCGAGAAGCCATTCCTGTGCCCTGTGTGTGGAAAGAAATTTGCAAACTCATCACATCTTCAGAGTCATCAGAGAACACACACGGGCGAGAAGCCATTCCTGTGCTCTGTGTGTGGGAAGGCATTTGCACAGTCATCACATCTTCAGATTCATCAGAGAGCACACACGGGCGAGAAGCCATTCCAGTGCCCTGTGTGTGGGAAGGCATTTTCACAGTCGTCAAATCTTAACACGCATCAAAAGGTCCACAATGATAGGAAACTGAAATCAAAAGCTGAAGTTCAAGGTGCTGCATTGAGTCCTGAAGAATTTTCCACCCTCGATCCCATGCAGTTGGATCCCGAGAGATGGCTGGATGTAATGGAGTGGCTCGAGGATCAAACCGAGAGCTCGGGGTGACTAAAATATAATGTTGCATGTGGTTATACCTTTTAATCCGTATCGAGTACTTTGTGTGTAATTTTGACCATTTTAGTTTTACAGTTTTTGTGAGAGTTTAATGACGTGCCCAGTGGTGGTTTGTAATGTTATCGGATTACTTGCCGAATTGGTGTGAAGAGCACTGGTTGTGAGAGGGTTCAATTGTAGTCGTTAAGTGTCCCTGTTGAGCTAAAGTTGAAATGCCTCTGTAGGTACATCTTTACTCAACATTTCAAAGGTTTTTTTTCAAGTATATAGCTTTTTTTGATTGGTATTAATCGACTTTAGATAGCCGATGTCAGGATGTACATTGACGCGTTCGTTGGATATATGGCCTTGACTTCAACATAGACGCACAGTGAACAAATGTGGTGAACTAATAAGGAAATCATGGAAATTATACTTTAACGCTTTGGTATTCCTGGAACGGAAATTGTTTGCATTGTACTGGAAATGTGTGAACATAGGACATAATAAATATTCCCTTCGAGTTTTGACGTCAACATTATTGCAGATGAATAAAAACGTATTTTTTACATATGTTTGTCCGGTCTTTATTTTATAATGTTCCTAGCAAAAACATGTTAAGCGAGTTTCAGGTGGAGGATCTCCGTCACACAAGTGTGCCCTTACCCGGCAGCATCTTGGCTGTCTACCCGATTAACACGTGTTCCTTGAGGGGAAAGGTCCCCGTAGTTAATCGTTCATCAACGTACCAGTCCCTAATCCCTAAGTATGTCGGGGATAAACTGTACTCTATAACATGTAAACTGTAATACTATAAACTATAACACTAAACATTAAACGATTATTAACTAGTGTTTTAATTTATAACCATATAAACGGAGGTAAGGTATTATAATATCATTAGAAGCATTAGAATCACAGTGTGATCGTATAAGAATCACGCACAAACCCATTCTTAACTCATGAGATTATGAATCGTTACAATTATTATAACAATCGCAATTTGTGACAAAGCGAAATTCCCACAAGCAAAACACCACGCTCACGTGACGAATTCTTAAACCAACTGCTACACTCAAGTGACAGAACTTAACAAAAAAACTCCGCAATAAAAAGAACAACATCTATGGACAATCCTAAAAACAGACAACACACGCACGTTAGTAGCTGTTAGAAGAAGACAACACCGAGCACCTTCAACTATACACATCATACAGCCAACTCGTAAATGGGGCGGTATAAGACAGCCTTCGCTGCTGTCGACGGGGCCAAGCAGCGAGTGTTTAACTCCATTGTTTCAGAATCCGTGTCATCACACGGCCACAGCGCCTTACCCAAACTACATCTCCCCAACAAGGCAGCCTTCCCTATGCTGTGTATTTTAGCAGTATATTTATGGACGCACTTGAAGATAACAATTCGTCTAGAAAAGGCAGGCGACTTGTTTTACCAACACGATTTCAAAAATTTCTATCCGAAAGAAGTATGAGTTCATTCATGAGTAGTATTCACGAAGCCCCGATTGCACTAACCTACACACAGTTATGATTAAACAAAGTAAACATTAGTCGCTCATCTCAGCTCAGACATGATCATAGCAATTATTTCCACATCCGTGTCGGGTCCCACGAGAACAGGGCACGTTCACAAACTCTCAGATTTTAAACTCACATTGTATACTCTAACATTATAAACTCTAACAATATAACCTTTAAACTATAAGCTATACATTGTAACGCTTTAAAATAACAATACAAACTAGTGTTATAATAAACTATACTGCTGTGAACTCTAACAAGATAAGCTATGAGCGATATATTATAACGCTATAAAATAACATCATAAACTAGTGTTACAGATTAGAACACCGTACATTGAAGTGTGCTATTCGAATCTCATTTGAATTCTTAGCTTCACACCGTGGTCCTCTAAGAATCACACTATGCTCGTCAGTATGTAACATGTCTGTATGTAATATGCATGAATATAATGTCTGTATGTAACATGTATGCATGTCATCAGAGAACACACACGGGCGAGAAGCCATTCCTGTGCCCTGTGTGTGGGAAGACATTTGCAGACTCATCAACTCTTCAAACTCATCAGAGAACACACACAGTCGAGAAGCCGTTCCTGTGCTCTGTGTGTGGGAAGACATTTGCACACAAGTCACACATCAACAGGCATCAGAAGGTCCACAATGATAGGAAACTGAAATCAAAAGCTGAAATTCAAGGTGCTGCAATGAGTCCTGAAGAAGTTTCCACCTTCGATCCCATGCAGTTGGATCCCGAGAGATGGCTGGATGTAATGGAGTGGCTCGAGAGTCAACCAGAAAGCTAGCGGTGACTGAAAAAATATTATGTCATGTGGTTATACCTTTTAAGCCGTATCGAGTACTTTTGTGTGTAATTTTGACCATTTTAGTTTTACAGTTTTTTTAGAGTTTAATGACGTGCACAGTGGTGGTTTGTAATGTTATCGGATTACTTGCCGAAGTGGTGTGATGAGCTCTGGTTGTGAGAGGGTTCAATTGTAGTCGTTAAGTGTTCCTGTTGAGCTAAAGTTGGATTGCGTCTGTAGATACATCTTTACTCAACATTTAAAAGTTTTTTTTTCAAGTATATGGCTTTTTTTGATTGGTATTAATCGACTTTAGATAGCGATTTCAGGATGTACATTGATGACGCGTTCGTTGGATATATGGCCTTAACTTCAACATAGACGCACAGTGAACAAATGTGGTGAACTAATAAGGAAATCATGGGGAATGATACTTTAACGCTTTGGTATTCCTGGAACGGAAATAGTTTGCATTGTACTGGAAATGTAATAAATATTCCCTTCGAGTTTTGACGTAAAAATGATTGCAGATGAATAAAAACGTATTTTTAACAAATGTTTGTCCGTTCTTTATTTTATAATGTTCCTAGAAAAAACATGTTAAGCGAGTTTCAGGTGGAGGATCTCCGTCACACAAGTGTGCCCTTAACCGGCAGCATCTTGGCTGTCTAACCGATTAACACATGTTCCTTGAGGGGAAAGGTCCCCGTAGTTAATCGTTCATCAACGTAACAGTCCCTAATCCAAAGTATGTCGGGGATAAACTGTACTCTATAACATGTAAACTGTAATACTATAAACGATAACACTAAACATTAAATGATTATAAACTAGTGTTTTAATTTATAACCATATAAACGGAGGTAAGGTATTATAATATCATTAGAAGCATCAGAATCACATTGTGGTCGTATAAGAATCGCACTCTGCTAATATGTTTGTATAGTGTACGTGCAAGGATCGGATACAAATTATTACAATTACAACATGGTCATATTACAATCACGATTTTCACTGCTAGATGTCATCGAATAACAAAAGACGGAATTATTTATATAAATACAAGCACAAACCCATTATAAACTCATGAGATTATGAATCGTTACAATTATTATAACAATCACAAATTGTGACAAAGCGACATTCCCACAAGCAAAACACCACGCTCACGTGACGAATTCTTAAACAAACTGCTACACTCAAGTGACAGAACTTAACAAAAAAACGCCGCAATAAAAAAAACAACATCAATGGACAAATCGTAAAAACAGACAACACACGCACGTTAGTAGCTGTTAGAAGAAGACAACACCTAGCACCTTCAACTATACACATCATACAGCCAACTCGTAAATGGAGCGGTATATGACAGCCTTCGCTGCTGTCGATGGGGACAAGCAGCGAGTGTTTAACTCCATTGTTTCAGAATCCGTGTCATCACACGGCCACAGCGCCTTAGCCAAACTACATCTCCCCAACAAGGCAGCCTTCTCTATGCTGTGTATTTTAGCAGTTTATTTACGGACGCACTTGAAGATAACAATTCGTCTAGAAAAGGCAGGCGACTTGTTCTACCAACACGATTTCAATTTATATCCGAAAGAAGTATGAGTTCATTCATGAGTAGTATTCACTAAGCCCCGATGGCACTTACCTACACACAGTTATGATTAAACAAAGTAAACATTAGTCGCCCATCTCAGCTCAGAAATGATCATAGCAATTATTTCCAAATCCGTGTCGGGTCCCACGAGAACAGGGCACGTCCACAAACTCTCAAATTGTAAACTCACATTGCATACTCTAACATTATAAACTCTAACAATATAACCTTTAAACTATGAGCTATACATTGCGACGTTCTAAAATAACACTACAAACTAGTGTTATAGTAAACTATAATGCTGTGAACTCTAACAATATAAGCTATGAGCGATATATTATAACGCTATAAAATAACATCATAAACTAGTGTTACAGATTAGAACACCGTACATTGAAGTGTGCTATTCGAATCTCATTTGAATTCTTAGCTTCACACCGTGGTTCTCTAAGAATCACACTATGCTCGTCAGTATGTAACATGTCTGTATGTAATATGCATGAATATAATGTCTGTATGTAACATGTATGCATGTCATCAGAGAACACACACGGGCGAGAAGCCATTCCTGTGCCCTGTGTGTGGGAAGACATTTGCAGACTCATCAACTCTTCAAACTCATCAGAGAACACACACAGTTGAGAAGCCGTTCCTGTGCTCTGTGTGTGGGAAGACATTTGCACACAAGTCACACATCAACAGGCATCAGAAGGTCCACAATGATAGGAAACTGAAATCAAAAGCTGAAATTCAAGGTGCTGCAATGAGTCCTGAAGAAGTTTCCACCTTCGATCCCATGCAGTTGGATCCCGAGAGATGGCTGGATGTAATGGAGTGGCTCGAGAGTCAACCAGAAAGCTAGCGGTGACTGAAAAAATATTATGTCATATTAAGCCGTATCGAGTACTTTTGTGTGTAATTTTGACCATTTTAGTTTACAGTTTTTGTGAGAGTTTAATTACGTGCCCAGTGGTGGTTTGTAATGTTATCGGATTACTTGCCGAAGTGGTGTGATGAGCACTGGTTGTGAGAGGGTTCAATTGTAGTCGTTAAGTGTTCCTGTTGAGCTAAAGTTGGAATGCGTCTGTAGTTAGATCTTTACTCAACATTTTAAAAGGTTTTTTTCAAGTATATAGCTTTTTTTGGTTGGTAATAATCGACTTTAGATAGTCGATTTCAGGATGTACATTGATGACGCGTTCGTTGGATATATGGCCTTGACTTCAACATAGACGCACAGTGAACAAATGTGGTGAACTAATAAGGAAATCATGGGGAATGAAACTTTAACGCTTTGGTATTCCTGGAACGGATATGGTTTGCATTGTACTGGAAATGTGTGAACATAGGACATAATAAATATTCCATTCGAGTTTTGACGTAAAAATTATTGCAGATGAATAAAAACGATTTTTTAACAAATGTTTGTCCGGTCTTTATTTTATAATGTTCCTAGCAAAAACATGTTAAGATAATTTCAGATGGAGGATCTCCGTCACACAAGTATGTCGGGGATAAACTGTACTCTATAACATGTCAACTGTAATACTATGAACGATTAACACTAAACATTAAACGATTATAAACTAGTGTTTCAATTTATAACCATATAAACGGAGCTAAGGTATTATAATATCATTAGAAGCATTAGAATCACAGTGTGGTCGTATAAGAATCGCTAATATGTATGTATAGTGTACGTGCAAGGATCGGATAAAAATTATTACAATTACAACATGGTCATATGCAATCACGATTTTCACTGCTAGATGTCATCGATTAACAAGACGGAATATATTTATATAAATACACGCGCAAACCCATTATAAACGCATGCGATTATGAATCGTTACAATTTTATAACAATCACAAATTGTAACAAAGCGAAATTCCAACAAGCAAAACACCACGCTCACGTGACGAATTCTTAAAGAAACTGCAACACTCAAGTGACAGAACTCAACAAAAAAACGCCGCAAAAAAAACAACATCAATGGGCAAGTCTTAAAAACAGAAAACACACGCACGTTAGCAGCTGTTAGAAGAAGACAACACCTAGCACCTTCAACTATACACATCATACAGCCAACTCGTAAATGGGGCGGTATATGACAGCCTTCGCTGCTGTCGACGGGGCCAAGCAGCGAGTGTGTGGGGGCCGTTGGCCCCCGGGGTCCCTCCCGCCTGCATCCCCTATTCCGTTTACGTTACCCCACCTCCCTATTACCCGCTACGGTTTCGCCGGCATTCGAACGCGACGCCCCTACTGTTACAGCCTCGCGCCGCGCTCCCACGCTGCGAGCAGACGTGCGCACACCATCATCAATCAAACGCCGTGCTCGCAGTATAGCCCTGTGCGGCACGTTACCAATGCGCATCCGTATCCGACACGTAACGAACGTACGCACACACACACACCGCTTCGTGCACTCCAACTCCACACGGACTACTCAAGTTACGATCGCGCACCTGTATCACACACGGAGTGAACACACACGACACCCACTCTCGCACCGCTCTGCGCAGCGCTCCCCCGAGGCGAGCTGCAGCACTACAGAATCACTGCGTACACACGCGCACCCACACGCTCACACTGCACGGCAAGATCACGCGAGACCACGCTTCACTATTAATGATTTATTATATGCTACCTGCGAATTGATGTTGAATCAGTGAGTCGACGAGGCTGGCCTATTCCACCCAAACCTGTACCTATTCCCTATTTATCGGCTTACGCTACCCTACTTCACCTCCCCACTCACAGCGCACCTCGATGCGTCGCGCGGACGCCCGGGTCGCTGGCTGGAGCCGCGGCTGGTCCGCTGGCCTGGAGAGAAGAGCGCGATTTCCCCTCTGCGCCCCTCTATTTATCCTCCCTACCTCAAAGGGGATGCTGCGCTGAACAATGGGCTCGTGCACCTCGAGCCCGCGCACGGCGGTTCCGGGCGCTTTTGATCTGCTAATCAGTGAGCGGCGTTGGCGGCGTACATCCTAATTACTCCCTTACCCTTCCTAACAATGGGGCCTGCGCGCTCAAGCGTAATGTTCCCAACCCTCCATGACTATGCGCAAGAGCCCATGCGGTCCCGCTATTCATGCTGTCCCCTCCCTCCTCCGCCTGTCTCGTCGACCCGTGGGGGTGTGTGGGAGGGAAAATGCGCCTCCACCGCGGTGGCCGAATGCCCCACGCCGCGACCACACCATATTAAGGCTGGTCGCAGCGCCGCGGCGCAACGTAGCACGGGGGAGGTCGTCCAATTCCCTGATCGCCAGAAACCGTGAGAGTTAACCCCGATAAGAGTTTCTCGGATAAAAACCGGTCGGCCAGGTAACCTCCCCTTCCAGCTCTATGGGTGGGGGAAAATGCGTGCGGGTGTGTTCATGTGAGGTGAGGGGGACGCGGGGTTGGCTCCGTTGCTTGGTGGTGGCGAGGTCGGGGATTTGGGCGCCTGCCGAATGGCTTCGTGGCGGCGGCATCACAAATTCTTTCACACGTACGTGCGCGCTCGACAAGGGCGTTAAAGGGAAGACGTGGGCAGCTCATGTCTGGCTGCCACCACGCCGTGCGAGACAGGTACCGCTGGATTTTCTCGGCGGCCAGTTCCTCAATAACATCAGTTGCGTACCCCGGGCGTGCGATCTTTGTTAACTCGCGCACATCCTCGGCGTAATCACGTAGATCTTCGCCAGGTTGGCGACGGCGCGCCTCTAAGGCCGATTTTGCTTCCTCCTCGTCACGCGTGCCAAAACGCTGATCGAGTCGGCGCATCAGCTCCTCTAGCTGTGTCTGTGCGCTCGCGGGTAACGCTTCTACAAAATCGGCTGCCCGCCCATCAAGATTCATATTAAGTTGACGTACTGCCCGCGCGTCCGTCCATCCATTAATTTCCTTGGCCCCTAAGAGATTGCGGGCGAATGCCTTCCACGAAGGGGCCCCCCGGCCGGTAAATATTAGTCTTATTTTAGCGTGAGGTAACGCGGGGGTCTGTACCGCTTCTGACACCAATTTGTGGGGGCCGTTGGCCCCCGGGGTTCCTCCTGCCTGCATCCCCTATTCCGTTTACGTTACCCCACCTCCCTATTACCCGCTACGGTTTCGCCGGCATTCGAACGCGACGCCCCTACTGTTACAGCCTCGCGCCGCGCTCCCACGCTGCGAGCATACGTGCGCACATCATCATCAATCAAACGCCGTGCTCGCAGTATAGCCCTAGTGCGGCACGTTACCAATGCGCATCCGTATCCGACACGTAACGAACGTATGCGCACTCCCACACACAGCTCTGCGCGGCACTCACTCAACACTGACCACTCACGTTAGGATCGTGCACCTGTATTATACACGTCGTGAACGTGCGTGCACACACATACAGCTCCACACGCGATACCCACACTTGCGCCGCTCTGCGCCGCGCTGGCCGCTCACGTTATGATCGCGCACCTGGGGTACGCCGATTACGCACGCCGAGAGCTTACGCATACACCGTGCCACGCGCGTTCACACTTATAACACGAGATCAGACGAGACCACGCTTCGCTATTAATGATTTATTACCTGGTAACTAATGTTGAATCAGGGAGTCGACGAGGCTGGCCTATTCCACTAAATCTGTACCTATTCTCTATTTATCGGCTATGATCCTACTTCACCTCCCCACTCACTGTTTGGTGCCCGCGGAGGTTCGCTGCTCTCTGCGCTAACAGCGTACCTCGATGCGTCGCACGGACGTTCGGGTCGCTGGCTGGAGCTGCTGCTGGTCCGCTGGCCTGGAGAGAAGAGAGCGATTTCCCCTCTGCGCCCCCTATTTATCCTCCCTACCTCAAAGGGGATGCTGCGCTGAACAATGGGCTCGTGCACCTCGAGCCCGCGCACGGCGGTTCCGGGCGCTTTTGATCTGCTAATCAGTGAGCGGCGTTGGCGGCGTACATCCTAATTACTCCCTTACCCTTCCTAACAATGGGGCTTGCGCGCTCAAGCGTAATTATGCCGTCCCTCCGCTGCCGGTGCGGGGGTGCCTGATTATGCAGTTCAGATGCGCTGCGTGTTTTCTAATGATGCTCCTCCATCACAATGCTTATTCCCTCTGCCTGCCCCGTCGCTACTGGCGTGTGTGGGGGAGAAATGCGCCTCAACCGCGGTGGCCGAATGCCCCACGCCGCGACCACACCATACTAAGGCTGGTCGCAGCGCCGCGGTGCCACGTAGCACGGGGGAGGTCATCCAATTCCCTGATCGCCGGAAACCGTGAGAGTTGATCCCGATAAGGATTTCTCGGATAAAAACCGGTCGGCCAGGCGATCTCCCCTCGGAGCTCTATGGGGGGGGGGAAATGAGTGCGGGTGTGTTCATGTGAAGTGAGGTGAGGGAGACGCGGGGTCGGCTCCGTTGCTTGGTGGTGGCGAGGTCGGGGATTTGGCGCCTGCCGAACGGCTTCGCAGCGGCGGCATCACACAACGCTAGGAAGAAGATTACCTATTGGGTTTCACTCCCTCGTCGAGAAGGCCGCTCTCTTCCTTTTCTAAAGTTACATGCTAGTTTCTCTGCATTCACTTTAAATCGAGGACAAAGTTTTTATTCAAAATAAGCGCACAATTACACACTGAGATGCACTTACATATTCATGCATGAAGCACAATGGGCACATTACCCTTCGGTATGTTAATAGCCATGCGGATTGTGCCTTCCAAAATTAACAATCGAATGCAAATATCCTGAAAGACAATAGATTGGATCCTAGGGGGGGAGTTATAAGGCGGCTCAGAAGCAGAGCTCAATGCCATTTTGAGAGGGAACTTGATGAGGTTGGACGCTCGACTCGTCGCTCTGCTGATCGCCCTTCAACCGCGAGACAACGCAGCCTGGCGAGCACAATTGCTGTGTCGACAGTTAGGCGACTTTGCGTCGGGAGAGTTCGTGGCGACATCTTCAGACGGGTTCCAGACATCGATATACCGTGAATCTCCTAGTAAGTGTCTATTTTCGCGTCGTTAAATTAGCGGGATTTTTTTGCATCTCGGTTAGACGCGAGTGTCGTTCTTGTTTTAGCAGTTAACAAAATCCAAAACATCTTGCGGCCGATAACGTACTTTTGACTCAATAACACCGCTGCTGTTACTACACTCACATGGAGCAGAGAGGCTCTCCACAGCCCCACGCACACGGAGGCAAGAAGCCATTCAATTGCTCTGTGTGTGGGAAGTCCTTTTCACGGTCATCACATCTTAAGAGACACCAGAGAACACACACGGGCGAGAAGCCATTCCTGTGCCCTGTGTGTGGGAAGACATTTGCACGGTCATCACATCTTCAGAGTCACCAGAGAACACACACGGGCGAGAAGCCGTTTCTGTGCTCTGTGTGTGGGAAGACATTTGCACACTCATCACATCTTCAGAGTCACCAGAGAACACACACCGGCGAGAAGCCATTCCTGTGCCCTGTGTGTGGAAAGGCATTTGCAGACTCATCAACTCTTCAAACTCATCAGAGAACACACATGGGCGAGAAGCCATTCCTGTGCCCTGTGTGTGGGAAGGCATTTGCACACTCATCAACTCTTCAAGATCATAAGAGAACACACACGGGCGAGAAACCATTCCTGTGCTCTGTGTGTGGGAAGAAATTTGCACACTCATCAACCAGGAACAGGCATCAGAAGGTCCACAATGATAGGAAACTGAAATCAAAAGCTGAAATTCAAGGTGCTGCAATGAGTCCTGAAGAAGTTTCCACCTTCGATCCCATGCAGTTGGATCCCGAGAGATGGCTGGATGTAATGGAGTGGCTCGAGGATCAAACAGAGAGCTCGGGGTGACTGAAAAAATATTACGTCATGTGGTTATACCTATTAAGCCGTTTCGAGTACTTTTGTGTGTAATTTTGACCATTTTAGTTTTACAGTTTTTTTGAGAGTTTAATTACGTGCACAGTGGTGGTTTGTTATGTTATCGGATTACTTGCCGAATTGGTGTGAAGAGCACTGGTTGTGAGAGGGTTCAATTGTAGTCGTTAAGTGTTCCTGTTGAGCTAAAGTTGGAATGCGTCTGTAGGTACATCTTTACTCAACATTTTAAACAGTTTTTTTCAAGTATATAGCTTTTTTGAATGGTATTAATCGACTTTAGATAGCCGGTTTCCGGATGTACATTGATGACGTGTTCGTTGGATATATGGCCTTGACTTCAACATAGACGCACAGTGAACAAATGTGGTGAACTAATAAGGACATCATGGGGAATGAAACTTTAACGCTTTGGTATTCCTGGAACGGAAATGGTTTGCATTGTACTGGAAATGTTTGAACATAGGACATAATAAATATTCCCTTTGAGTTTTGACGTAAAAATGATTGCAGATGAATAAAAACGTATTTTTAACAAATGTTTGTCCGGTCTTTATTTTATAATGTTCCTAGCTTAAAACATGTTAAGAGAATTTTAGGTGGAGGATCTCCGTCACACAAGTGTGCCCTTAACCGGCAGCATCTTGGCTGTCTACCCGATTAACACGTGTTCCTTGAGGGGAAAGGTCCCCGTAGTTAATCGTTCATCAACGTACCAGTCCCTAATCCCGAAATATGTTGTACCTTATAACATGTAAACTGTAATACTATAAATAATAACACTAAACTTTAAACGATTATAAACTAGTGTTTTAATTTATAACCATATAAACGGAGGTAAGGTATTATAATATCATTAGAATTACAGTGTGTTAGTATAAGAATCGCTAATATGTTTGTATAGTGTACGTGCAAGGATCGGATAAAAATTATTACAATTACAACATGGTCATATTACAATCACGATTTTCACTGCTAGATGTCATCGAATAACAAAAGACGGAATATATTTATATAAATCCACGCACAAACCCATTATAAACTCATGACATTATGAATCGTTACAATTATTATAACAATCACAAATTGTGACAAAGCGAAATTCCCACAAACAAAACACCACGCTGACGTGACGAATTCTTAAACAAACTGCAACACTCAAGTGACAGAACTCAACATAAAAACGTCGCAATAAAAAGAACAACATCAATGGACAAATCCTAAAAACAGACAACACACGCACGTTAGTAGCTGTTAGAAGAAGACAACACCAAGCACCTTCAACTATACACATCATACAGCCAACTCGTAAATGGGGCGGTATATGACAGCCTTCGCTGCTGTCGACGGGGCCAAGCAGTGAGTGTTTAACTCCATTGTTTCAGAATCCGTGTCATCACCCGGCCACAACGCCTTAGCCAAACTACATCGTCCCAACAAGGCAGCCTTCCCTATGCTGTGTATTTTAGCAGAATATTAACGGACGCACTTGAAGATAACAATTCGTCTAGAAAAGGCAGGCGACTTGTTCTACCAACATGATTTCAATTTATATCCGAAAGAAGTATGAGTTCATTCATGAGTAGTATTCACTATGCCCCGATTGCACTAACCTAGACACAGTTATGATTAATCAAAGTAAACATTAGTCGCTCATCCCAGCTCAGACATGATCATAGCAATTATTTCCAAATCCGTGTCGGGTCCCACGAGAACAGGGCACGTCCACAAACTCTCAAATTGTAAACTCACATTGAATACTCTAACATTATAAACTCTAACAATATAACCTTTAAACTATGAGCTATACATTATAACGCTATAAAATAGCAATAAACTGGTGTTAAAGATTAGAACACCGTACATTGAAGTGTGATATTTGAATTCGAATTCTTAGCTTCACACCGTGGTCCTCTAGGAATCACAATTTGCTCGTCAGTATGTAACATGTCTGTATGTAATATGTATGCATGAGATATGTCTGTATGTAATATGTATGCATGTAACATGTATGTATGTAATATGGACGTGCGAACCAATGGTGGGATATGTGAAACATGAAGGTGCAGGATCAGGATGGGATTACAATTATTTGAACAACACTTTGGTGGTATGCGCCGCAGCCTGGCTGCCCAGCAGATACCAAGGAGGAATTTTGGGAACAATTGATGGACACATGCAATCAAATAAACGGAGAAGAGCAGTTAGTAATTGGTGGAGACCTAAATGGACACGTTGGAAACGCCCGGGATGGATACCCTCGAAACCATGGTGGCCAAGGATATGGTACCCGGAACGATAAGGGAAACCGAGCCCTGGACTTTGCGGAAGCCCATGATCTTGTCCTCGCCAACACCTTCTTCAAGAAGAGACCGTCCCATCTCATTACGTACGCCAGTGGTGGGAGATCAACTCAAATTGATTTCTGGCTTGTCAAGCGGGATAAGCTGAAAACGGTGACAAACACTAAAGTCATACCATCGGACAACATCACCCCACAACATCGCATCCTGATCATGGACATGAAAATGGACATTGGCCAGCGACATCGCCCACCAACAACGGAACAGCAGCGAATTAAGTGGTGGCGGATGAAGGAATGCAAAGATCAGCTGAGAGTCGCCCTCAATCAGATTGACGTGAACACCAACCGACCAGCGAATGCGATTTGGGAAGATTTCGCCGGCCAACTGTGCACAGCAGCAACGGAAGCACTGGGGCTAACTAAGCCGGCAAAACACTTCATTGACAAGCACATATGGTGGTGGAACGAAGAAGTTCAGCTAGCAGTGAAAGAGAAGAAGCTAGCTTTCAAGAAGTGGCGCAAAACGCTCGCAGATCTGGATTACCAACAATACAGAAACTGCAAATCGGCAGCGAAGCGAGTAGCAGCGGTGAAATTAGCTCAATACGACCAACTGTATGTCGAACTGGACACCCCAGAAGGTGCCAATAAGATCTATCGACTGGCAGAGGCGCGCCATCGTTCGACTCAGGATATTGGTCAGGTCAAATGCATAAAGGATGAGAATCACAGCACTCTCAGAGACCCGCCCGCCATCCTTCAAGGCTGGAGCAACTACTTCTCTGGAATCTGCAACCAGGAATTTCCCCACCCACCTTCTATTAGCGCTGAACACGTCCTCGATCCGGTTTCACCTATCACCATCACCGAAGTGGAACAAGCTATCAAGAGAATGAAGAATGGGAAAGCGACTGGCCCGGACGATATCCCTGCTTAGGCCTGGAAGATCCTTGGCAGGCAGGGTGCTGCCCTCCTTACCCAACTCTTCAGCACCATCACGAGCACCGGTGAGGTCCCAGAAGCCTGGGCGACCAGCACGACGGATCCAATTTGGAAGGGTAAAGGGGCCGTGGCAGAATGCTCGAATTACAGGCCAATCCGGCTCCTGTGTCATGCGATGAAGATCTTTGAGCGAGTTTTGGACACGAGGATTAGAAACATCGTCACCCTATCACCCAACCAATGCGGCTTCGACAAAGGATGTGGCACTACGGACGCCATATTCGCGGCGAGGCTCCTGCTGGAGAGGCACAGAGAGAAGAACAAAGCTGTGCACGTGTCGTTCCTCGACCTTGAAAAGGCATTTGACAGGGTCCCCCATGACCTCATCTGGCACTCGCTTCGATCCCATGGAGTCCCTGAAACCTACGTGCATTGGGTGCAACTCCTATACAAGAACGTCACCAGTGCAGTCAGGTGTGCAGTGGGCATATCACCGCCATTTCCCATCAGCGTTGGAGTGCACCAAGGATCGGCCCTGTCACCACTCCTGTTTATCCTGTGCATGGACACGATCACTGCCGACCTGCACACGCCCCTGCCATGGTCAATTCTCTACGCGGATGACGTCCTCCTCTCAGATGAAGAGAGAGGAGAAGTGGAAAGACAAACGCGCCTGTGGAAGGAACGTTTGGACGAAAACAGGATGAGGTTCAACATCAAAAGACGGAGTATATGGAGTGTGGCCCCCAAACCGACGGCACCATCAGCATTGACGGAGAAGATCTGAAGAAAGTGACGGACTTCAAGTACCTGGGTTCCACCATCAGCTCAGATGGTAGCATCACGACTGATGTGAGGTCACGAGTCAATGCGGCATGGATGAAGTGGAGGCAAGTCACCGGAGTCCTCTGTGATAGGAAAATGCCGGATAGGCTGAAGGGAAAAATTTACAAGACCATCGTCCGACCGGTGGCACTCTATGGATCCGAGTGCTGGCCAGCCACAACTGTACACGAACAAGCTCTCCACACCATGGAGATGAGGATGCTCAGATGGAGCCTCGGACTCACTCGATGGGATCGTGTCATGAACGAAGACGTTCGGAATCGACTTGGTGTGGCCCCCATTGCGGACAAGATGCTTGAGGCAAGGCTTCGGTGGTACGGCCATGTGATGCGAAGTGAAGAGTCATCAGTGGCCAAGACTGCCATGTGTATTGAACCAGAGGGCCGCCGTCCACGCGGACGTCCGAAGAAGCGATGGATGGATCGAATAAAGGAAAACATAAAGACGGTCAACGCATCCCCTGAAGATGCCCTGGACCGAGCCAAATGGGGAAGACAATGCCGAAAAGCGGACCCTGCGCCACAGCGGGAACAACGCTCGGAAGAAGATTACCTATTGGATTTCACTCCCTCGTCGAGAAGGCCGCTCTCTTCCTTTTCTAAAGTTACATGCTAATTTCTCTGCATTCACTTTAAATCGAGGACAAAGTTTTTATTCAAAATAGACGCACAATTACACACTGAGATGCACTTACATATGCATGCATGAAGCACAATGGGCACATTACCCTTCGGTATGTTAATAGACATGCGGATTGTGCCTTCAAAAATTAACAATCAAATGCAAATATCCTGAAAGACAAAGGATTGGATCCTAGGGGGGGAGTTATAAGGCGGCTCAGAAGCAGAGCTCAATGCCATTTCGAGAGGGAACTTGATGAGGTTGGACGCTCGACTCGTCGCTCTGCTGATCGCCCTTCAACCGCGAGACAACGCAGCCTGGCGAGCACAATTGCTGTGTCGACAGATAGGCGACTTTGCGTCGGGAGAGTTCGTGGCGACATCTTCAGACGGGTTCCAGACATCGAATTACCGTGAAGCTCCAAGTAAGTGTCTATTTTCGCGGATAAACTCTTAAATGTGTTCGTCGTCAAATTAGCGGGATTTTTTTGCGTCTCGGTTCGACGCGAGTGTTAAACATCCTTGCGGCCGATAGCGTACTTTTGACTCGATAACACCGCTGCTGTTACTAAGCTCACATGGAGCAGAGACGCTCTCCACAGCCCCACGCACACGGAGACAAGAAGCCATTCAATTGCTCTGTGTGTGGGAAGGCATTTGCACGGCAATCAAGTCTTCAGAGACACCAGAGAACACACACGGGCGAGAAGCCATTCCTGTGCCCTGTGTGCGGGAAGGCATTTGCACGATCGTCAACTCTTCAAACTCATCAGAGAACGCACACGGGCGAGAAGCCATTCCTGTGCCCTGTGTGTGGGAAGGCATTTGCACGGTCATCAACTCTTCAAACTCATCAGAGAACGCACACGGGCGAGAAGCCATTCCTGTGTCCTGTGTGTGGGAAGGCATTTGCACGGTCATCAACTCTTCAAACTCATCAGAGAATGCACACGGGCGAGAAGCCATTCCTGTGCCCTGTGTGTGGGAAGGCATTTGCAGACTCATCAACTCTTCATAGTCATCAGAGAACACACACGGGCGAGAAGCCATTCCTGTGCCCTGTGTGTGGGAAGGCATTTGCAGACTTATCAACTCTTAATAGTCATCAGAGAACACACACGGGCGAGAAGCCATTCCTGTGCTCTGTGTGTGGGAAGAAATTTGCACACTCATCAACCAGGAACAGGCATCAGAAGGTCCACAATGATAGGAAACTGAAATCAAAAGCTGAAATTCAAGGTGCTGCAATGAGTCCTGAAGAAGTTTCCACCTTCGATCCCATGCAGTTGGATCCCGAGAGATGGCTGGATGTAATGGAGTGGCTCGAGGATCAAACAGAGAGCTCGGGGTGACTGAAAAAATATTACGTCATGTGGTTATACCTATTAAGCCGTTTCGAGTACTTTTGTGTGTAATTTTGACCATTTTAGTTTTACAGTTTTTTTGAGAGTTTAATTACGTGCACAGTGGTGGTTTGTTATGTTATCGGATTACTTGCCGAATTGGTGTGAAGAGCACTGGTTGTGAGAGGGTTCAATTGTAGTCGTTAAGTGTTCCTGTTGAGCTAAAGTTGGAATGCGTCTGTAGCTACATCTTTACTCAACATTTTAAACAGTTTTTTTCAAGTATATAGCTTTTTTGAATGGTATTAATCGACTTTAGATAGCCGGTTTCCGGATGTACATTGATGACGTGTTCGTTGGATATATGGCCTTGACTTCAACATAGACGCACAGTGAACAAATGTCGTGAACTAATAAGGACATCATGGGGAATGAAACTTTAACGCTTTGGTATTCCTGGAACGGAAATGGTTTGCATTGTACTGGAAATGTTTGAACATAGGACATAATAAATATTCCCTTTGAGTTTTGACGTAAAAATGATTGCAGATGAATAAAAACGTATTTTTAACAAATGTTTGTCCGGTCTTTATTTTATAATGTTCCAAGCTTAAAACATGTTATAAGAATTTTAGGTGGAGGATCTCCGTCACACAAGTGTGCCCTTAACCGGCAGCATCTTGGCTGGCTACCCGATTAACACGTGTTCCTTGAGGGGAAAGGTCCCCGTAGTTAATCGTTCATCAACATACCAGTCCCTAATCCCGAAGTATGTTGTACCTTATAACATGTTAACTGTAATACTATAAATAATAACACTAAACTTTAAACGATTATAAACTAGTGTTTCAATTTATAACCATATAAACGGAGGTAAGGTATTATAATATCATTAGAATTACAGTGTGGTCGTATAAGAATCGCTAATATGTTTGTATAGTGTACGTGCAAGGATCGGATAAAAATTATTACAATTACAACATGGTCATATTACAATCACGATTTTCACTGCTAGATGTCATCGAATAACAAAAGACGGAATATATTTATATAAATCCACGCACAAACCCATTATAAACTCATGACATTATGAATCGTTACAATTATTATAACAATCACAAATTGTGACAAAGCGAAATTCCCACAAACAAAACACCACGCTGACGTGACGAATTCTTAAACAAACTGCAACACTCAAGTGACAGAACTCAACATAAAAACGTCGCAATAAAAAGAACAACATCAATGTGCAAATCCTAAAAACAGACAACACACGCACGTTAGTAGCTGTTAGAAGAAGACAACACTTAACACCTTGATCATAGCAATTATTTCCAAATCCGTGTCGGGTCCCACGAGAACAGGGCACGGCCACAAACTCTCAGATTGAAGAAGAAGTCGCTGCTTTGCCATCGAACGGTTTCGTAGCTGCTGTAGTTGCTTCTGTTACTGTTATATCGGCAGCATGTTGGTGTCCCGTGACACCAACCTACCAGACCAACGCCATCGATCGACGTCTTGGATATACTCTCACATTGTAAACTCTCACATTGTAAATTCTCACACTGTGAACTTTAACATTATGAACTTCAACAATGGTAACTTAAAAACATTCACATATACAGTAATCTAAAAATTACTGTAAACTAGTATTGTTAGTAAACTCTAAATTTGTGAACTCTAACAATATAACCTATGAGCTATACATTATAACGCTATACAACAACATTATTAACTAGTGTTATAGATTGGAACAACCTACCTTGAAGTGTGATTTTCGAATTGCATTCGAATTATTCGAATCACTCCGTGGTCCTCTTCGAATCACACTACGGTCGTAAGTATGTAACATGCATGCATGTAACATGTCTGTTTGTAGTAAGTATATGTGCATGTAACATGTATGTATGTAACATGTATGTATGTATGTAACATGGTACATGCATGCATGTAACATGTATGTATGTATGTAACATGTATGTATGTAATATAGACGTGCGAACCAAGGGTGGAATATGTAAAACGGAAGGTGCAGGATCAGGATGGGATTAAAATTATTTGAATAACACTTTGGTGGTATTAGGATCAAGCTGTCCACTATTGGATGAATGTTCCATCTCAATGGCATCACATAGCAATATTCAGTATGTATATATAAAATAATCGTACAAACTCAACATAAGCCCGTGCAATAATGAATCGTTAAAATTGTAATTACTCCAAACTCTTTTATTTAGCCTTTAACGCGGTTTCAGACCCCAGGCGTCACGATATAGCAACGACGACGAGACAGCAACCAGCCAACACAGCCCCAAACATCGTTACTCCCCCTCTCTCATTCTCGGCGTGAACCTCCGCCCACACATGGTCTCGCCTTCCCTTCTCGAACTCTCTCTATTTTGTTGTCACCACTTGTCCCTTAGTTGACGCACTGTCTTTACATCACCCACCTCTATGACCTCTACCTGACCCCGCCATGGGCGGAGCAACTTGGGAGATTTTCCCGGTAGCACCTGTAGGCAATACAACCATGCCCTGTCCCCCACTGCCCATGGAAGCACGTGCTCCCGCCGCCCCGAGTTCTTTTCATTAGCGTATTGCGCTCTGGTGGGGAAAGGTCCTCGTTATGAATCGTTTCGCAACGTTCAGGTCCAGAATACCGAAGTATACCGGGAATCACCTGCACCTAAAAAATATGTAAACTGATAACACTATAAACAATAACACTAAACATTAAACGACAAAAAATTATCAACTGGTTTTATAATTTATAGCACCATAAACGGAGGTATGGTATTTAAATCTCATTAGAAGTATTAAAATCGCACTCTACACATATGTATGTAAATTATCTGTTCAATCGAACCGGGGGTAGGATATGTTAACTGTGAGGGTACAGGGCAAGAATCGCATTCACATTTTAGAATAATAATATGGTAGTATTAGCATTTTAATGGGCTATAATGTATGTTAAGTGCAAATGCAAATCGTTAGTCGTAAATGCGAGGGAGGGGTTAAGAGGTGCACGTTTAATCCAGTGTTAACATTTATTTTAGCATCATATTTAAGGACACTGTTGTTGATAAGAATTCGTCTACTCGATCAACCAAAATTAGTACAATGTCGGTCATACAGGAGTGTGATTTCATTCATGAGTTGTATTCACAGAGCCCCGATGACACTAACCTACCTAAAGTTATGGTTAAACAACGTAATCTTGAGTGACTTAATTCTCAGCTCAGACATGATCATCGCAATCATTTCCAAAGACGTGTGGGGTCCTGCGAGAGCAGGTCCCGACTACAAACAGCTGGGCAGCAGAATCGTAAGTAGCTGCGTCGCCCTCGAAATGTGATGTTGCTGCTGTTGTTGTCGCTACTGTTGTTGCTGCTGTAGTTGCTTCTGTTCCTGTGATATACGCAGGGAGGTGGTGTTCTGTGATGGGATGACGCTTTTGATTAAAGCCTCTGATCAAACTCACCCGATTGACGCCCTTGATCGTCGCATTTGATCAACTCTGATATTGTATACTCTCGCATCTTAAGCTCTATCATAGTGAAACATAATATTATAACCTATGAACTACAACCTATCCATTGTAACGCTATTGGATTTCACTTCCTCGTCGAGAAGGCCGCTCTCTTCCTTTTCTAAAGTTATATGCTAATTTCTCTGCATTCACTTTGAATCGAGGACAATGTTTTCCCATTAATTCAAAATAAGCGCACAATTACACACTGAGATGCACTTACATATTCATGCATGAAGCACAATGGGCACATTACTCTTCGGTATGTTAATAGACATGCGGATTGTACCTTCCAAAATTAGCAATCGAATGCAAATATCCTGAAAGACAAAGGATTGGATCCTAGGGGGGGAGTTATAAGGAAGCTCAGAAGCAGAGCTCAATGCCATTTCGAGAGGGAACTTGATGAGGTTGGACGCTCGACTCGTCGCTCTGCTGATCGCCCTTCAACCGCGAGACAACGCAGCCTGGCGAGCACAATTGCTGTGTCGACAGTTAGGCGACTTTGCGTCGGGAGAGATCGTGGCGACATCTTCAGACGAGTTCTAGACATCCATATACCGTGAATCTCCAAGTAAGTGTCTATTTTCGCGGATAAACTCTTTAACGTGTTTTGTCGTCATATTTACGGGATTTTTTTGCGTCTCGGTTAGACGCGAGTGTCGTTCTTGTTTTAGCAGTTAACGAAATCCAAAACTAAACGCTAAACATCCTTTCGGCCGATAGCGTATTTTTGATTCGATAACACCGCTGCTGTTACTACGCTCACATGGAGCAGAGACGCTCTCCACAGCCCCACGCACACGGAGACAAGAAGCCATTCAATTGCTCTGTGTGTGGGAAGGCATTTTCATGGTCATCAAGTCTTAAGAGACACCAGAAAACACACACGGGTGAGAAGCCAATCCTGTGCTCTGTGTGTGGGAAAACATTTGCACACTCATCACATCTTCAGAGTCATCAGAGAACACACACGGGCGAGAAGCCATTCCTGTGCCCTGTGTGTGGGAAGGCATTTGCACAGTCGTCAACTCTTCAAAACCATCAGAGAACACACACGGGCGATAAGCCATTCCTGTGCCCCGCGTGTGGGAAGGCATTTTCACAGTCGTCAACTCTTAACAGGCATCAGAAGGTCCACAATGATAGGAAACTGAAATCAAAAGCTGAAATTCAAGGTGCTGCAATGAGTCCTCAAGAAGTTTCCACCTTCGATCCCATGCAGTTGGATCCCGATAGATGGCTGGATGTAATGGAGTGGCTCGAGGATCAAACCGAGAGCTCGGCGTGACTGAAAAAA